AATGGTGGCAGAGCATCTCCACCAAGCCCATCTTTCGCACTAACACCGCAAAGGTCAACAACATCATCCATATTGCTTTGAGATACTTTGCCCGGCTCCTTCAGTATGCCGTATTCTTCAAGGCAAACCTCGACTCTATGGTGAAAGATGAGGTAGCTTGCCTTTTCTTGGCCGACAATCCTCAGCGTTTAAAGTTCAAATGCTCCACCACTTTTATCTCGAGATTGTTGGACACTCGAGATGGGCGGCTTGGTGATGAGATACACATGGGGGGCATGATCACCCTCATTGCCCTTTCTTTGAATGGTGGAGCTTACAAGGACCAAATTGATTTGCTCCCCCATGTGCTCCAAAACAAAGAAGAAGAGGTCGTCGGCTACCCTCCTTATGCTCTTTCTATTGTTGCTCTCCGCAACCAACGCTTCATCAACTACTTCACCCAGAATCGCAAATTTATCCTCTTGGTAGATAATGGAGAAGAATGGTGTGTCCTCCCGGATCCTCCTCACACTTCGGTAGACCCTTCCAACCCGCTAAGGTGGAAGATTGCGCGAAAATTCATCCCCGATGAATTAAGGAAAAAACAAGCCCACGGTGCAATCCCTCACCCTCAACCGGTCTACCAAGTGGAGCATAATTTCCCCCCCCCCTAGTGGGGGAGGTGAGACATCTTCTTCTTCTTCCTCTTCTCCTTTTGATATGAGTGCCCTGCGTAGTACCCTCGATGGTATTCGTTTTGATAATCAGGCTTCTATTGAACAATGGGGGTACTACGCAAGGATGAACTATGATAGTCTTGTGCAAGCGGGCGTTCAAACGCCCTATGTTAACTATCCCTACCACCCGCCTCAAGAGGGCCCAGTTCCACATTGGGACACCTATGACCCTAACAACCCCTCCCCCAACACCTATGCTTATTGGGAAGGTCCTATCGACCCATCCCAACGTGTTGGTACCCCACCATACAACCCTTATCGGCCGGGTGGGTGCGACTACGCCTATGATCCGGCAAGTCCATCAACCCCGAATCCTTTTGATGGTGGTTGGGGTACCCAAGGGTGGCCCTACGAGACGTGCAAAAGACTAGCGTGGGGGAAGATGTTCCTTTTGGTTGAAGTGTACATAGGAGGGTAGTGTGGTAGGATGGTAGCTTGTGCATATGGAGAACCATCACGGATAATGAATTTATTGTAGTTAGAGATGATTTTTGGTTGGTAATATTCTTATGATGATGATGTTAAAAAAAAAAAAAAAAAAAAAAAAAAAAAAAATTTGAAGTTGTTTTTCCCTCTTCTCTCTTGATCCCAAAATCCAAATCCCAAAATCCAAATTTTGTAGATAGCTTTTTGTCAATCTTTTTCTTTTGTTTATAATTCTAGTCTTTTCCTTTTGTTCACTAACTTTTCTTTGTATAGTTGTAGTGTTTCTTTTCTTTTGGCTCACTTTCCTTGTAGCTTGAAAACGGAAGCACAAAATGATGGGATAAGGAGCAACTCAAGCTCCGGAAACCTTGGTGAGATCGCAATTTTGCCTTGTGTTCTATTTCAAGCAGCATTTGGTGAGATCTTTCCCTATTTTCCTTTATTTTTTTTCCTTGTGTGCATAGTTAGCTTAGACTAGAATGGAGTTGATTGTTCGAGGTTGTTTGCATTTGATTCCTCGGAATCTGGTGATCGTTGGTATTGATGCCGAACGATCTTTGTTTGTCGATTGAGAATTATATGTTTACTAGCCTCTTATCTCTCTTGTACTCCTTGCATCAAAAAAAAAAAAAAAAAAAAGAGAAAAAAAGGGGGTGAAAAAGATTTTCCTTTTTATTCATGACAAACCACGAAAAGCTTAGTTGTTTCATTTTCATTTCGAGCATAATAATGTTGACTCGTGTGTTTGAATGCTTTGCTTCTTGAGTGTTATAAGTTTGCATGCTTCGGGATTGCCATTGGTTGACTCTGGGACATGTTCATGCTAAGGTAGTTGTTCTAGAACTCGTTAGGCCCATCGAACCCAAATTCACTTGTTTGTGGTAAGAAGGTGTTGCTCTCATTAAGGGATTTGAAGCCCTAGAGATGGTTTTTGTAACCCGATGTGAGCTTTATTGTTCAAGCCTCCAACATTACTTGTATGAGCGGCGTAGGATCCTCACCAAGGCATGCTTAGATCTAGAACTTGGCGTCTGGCTCCCGAGATCGAGACCGAACTAACCTACGAATGACAAAGGCATTCTTCATTCGGTGACTATTTTTGTTTTCTAGTATTAGTTTTTTTTTTCCTTTGTATTTTTGGGTTGCATTTGCCCTTACCATGTTGAATCTTCCCCTCCTTGATTATAGCACATTGCAAGACCATGGCCCTTTTGTTTTACTTTCACCCTTAGAATCGTGAAGCTCAAGCCATGAGTGTTTATTGTAGTTTTGATTTGAAATTTGGAAGGGAATGGTTCTACTTGGAAAGTGAAGCAGTGTTTTTGTGAATATATGTTCAAGAAAAGCAAATGTAAATCCTAGAAAAAGCCTTTGAAGCTAAAAAAAAAAAAAAAAAAAAAAAAAAGAAGAGAGAATGTGACAAACGAAGGGTTGATGAATGAAGATGTAAGAGGAAAGCGAAAGCTCAAAAGTGTTTGGCATTATAGTTCAATATTGTGGCAACGTAGTTTGAAAATTTGTTGATGATTGATTTTGAAAAAGAGGCTTGATCACCCTTTGCTTCACGGTTAGGCTAAGCACCAATTTCCAAATTCCTCCACACCCTTACCCCCCTAGCCATCGTTATAACCCTTTCAATGCCCTGTTGACCTAGGTTGGTTGAGTCACTTATCGGTGGAGGGAGCTGGAACTCAAGCATATGGAGAAGGCATGACTTGGTGAGATGTCGGGTTCCCCTATTTTGCAGTGTTTTATCTTTGTTCCGGCTCCTTCGAGGAGTCACTTGATGCTATCTCCAAGGGCGGATTTGAATCTAGATGAGGGAACGCGGTAAGATTGTATAAAATGCGGGGGGAGTGGTGCATGTTTGAGTTCTCTATGCTTAGCATAGCTTATCCTTCAATCAACTTTCGGCATCCCCTTGCATGCTCACTTCTACTACTCAGAAAGTTTGACACTCATTCATGTTTGTTATCTCCAAAAGCTCGATTTGGCTATGATTTGTGTTGGATTTGTTGTTTCTTTTTCCCTTGTTTTTGGTTTGTCTTGAACGCTATTTTGTAAGAGTTGTGGGGTATGCTCTCTGGAAACCCTCATGAGATCACAACTCGTCCTCATCGGCGACCTAGGGGTTTAAATGGCTTGTTGCTTTTGCTAAAAGCAATTTCGGTTTTTCTTTTGTTCCTTGCATGTTTGAATAACTAATTCTTTCTCCCTTGTTCTTTTTCCTTTGCTTTGCTCGAGGGCGAGCAAAGGCTTAGCGTGGGGGAGTTTGATGAGTGACATTTATGTCACTCTTAGGGGTAGTATTTAGGTCTTTTTCCTCTTATTTTTCTTAGGTTTTTCCACCTCATTATCCTCTTATGGCTTCTTTTTGTGTTGATGAAAAGTAATGCTTATTTTGATAATCTTTATGCATTATTTTATCATCCCCATGCTCTCGTGAACTTTGGTATCTTCTGCAGGTTCCGTGACAGTCCTATGCACGGTGGGAGGCCCCTTGGCCAAGCATGGAAGCCATGGACAAAGGAAAGAGGGGCAAAAGGGAAGGAGAGGAAGCAAGAAAAGGAAGTGCAAGAGGAGGTGTGGCCGAACCTCTGAAAGGTCCGGTCGAACCTTGGTGTGGTCAAACTTTTCAAAAGTTCGACCGAACCTCCAGGGTGCAGTGAAGGCAGTGTCAAACCTGTTTTCAGCAATTTTGCAGGAGAGGTCGAACCTCAAAAGTTCGACCAAACAAGGATCAGGGAGGTTCGACCGAACCTACACATGGTTCGACCGAACCTACCCTGAGTCCGACCGAACTTACCCATAGTTCGGTCGGACCTTTTCCCGATCTCAGCCGATTTTGTACGGACTATTTAAGGTCCTTTTGAGGTCGTTTAAAAGAAGACGGGAGAAGCAGGACAGTAGCCTAGTTTTCAGAAACCTCCCTTAGTTTGAAACATTCCTTAGGATTAATTTAGCTTAGTTTTCATCAAATCAAATCATTTTATTAGTGAAATTCAAGAATTATTCTCAAAGTTGGGCAATTTGTATTCAATATTTGAAGCTTCAATTAGTAATTTCTCCAACCTTCTTCCTTTTAATTTCAGATTTCATTTGGTATTTGCATGTTATTTAAATCTTCTTAGTTCTTGGTAATTTGTTATTGGATGATAGTTATTTCAATTGTTAACCACTTTTCCCCAATTATTGAAGTATTTAGAACCCTAATTCTTGATTGCATGTTGATAAACATGAGTTGTGAGTATTTTTCTTGCTAGGGGTTGGGTGAAGCTCGACCTTTTTGGGTTAACTATGCAAATGTGGGAGAAGCATTGATGTTTGTATTGCAATTAAATTGATTATATGAGATTGCTTGTTAGTTCCTCATGATAGGTTTAACTACCCTTGACTAAGGAGCTTGATAGTATGATATGCCTAATTTGACATGGAAGTGTAAATTGAGTACGTCATTACTTATTGTAATTTGATTATGTATCATCTATTGCTAAACTAATGAGGAATCTAAGTTTAGTAGTGTGAGTTGTTTTCTAATTGCATGAGGTTGATTTTACATATAGTCCTTGCTATATCTTGTCTATTTTACTCCCCGTTTGCCTATTTGCCTTGGTTGAGCGGATCTCATTCCCTAGTATCTTTAATTCATTGATTTAGCACCATAGTTTGTTTGTCTTCTTGACGAACCCCTATTCACCAATTGACTTCGAGCTAGCTTAAGTGTAAAGATCTTTGGCAATCATATCCTGTTCCTTGTGGACCGAACTCTTACTTGTCATTATGCTTGGTTTGTAAGGTGTTTGTTAATAAATGTGTTTGATTGAGTGTGGAATGTACGACCGTTCGCACGCCCATCACTATCCTAGGGCTCGCCACCTCATAACCACTAGGGCAAAGGCAATATTTACTATTTTTAAGAAGATCATAATAGGAGACATTTTGTGGGAGGTATGTGTGGATTCTCATATCTTCATCACTTTTGTTCCCCCAATGCTCTAGGAGGGAGGGCCTAATGGGCCCGTGATTCCCACCCGCGAAGAAGGCCAAGATGGAGCGATTTGAAGGGGATGAGCCTCCAATGAACGTGCTCGTTGGCCCCGGTTGGAGGTTGATCTCGGGTAGGGAAACATCTTTCCGAGGTTGAAACTCTTCGGAGGTATTAGCATTGCATAGGACCCTAATTGAGTTCTCCTTTAGGTAAGGGACCGAAAATGATGCTATTGGACCCTACAAGAACAAATTAAAGTGGCAATTTAGCTACCTTCACAAAAAATGATGATAATACTCAAACCCTTAAACAAAAAGTTAATATGTACACGTGTATAGAATGCAATAAAACAAAGGTCAAATAGTACAGAAATAAATCAATTTTGTACGTACCCAATCATGACAAGAGAGCATAAAGTGATCAGCTGCAAGACTTCGATTCCAAAAAGGATATTTGCTAGAAATAACGTCAATATAGTCTATAACAGTATGTTTTATGAAATCAAAACTTCGCAACTCCGGTTGATAAAGATAGTGAACCATCATAGTGACACTAAATGGGAGAAAGAAAACATGAGCCTTATTAGGGTTCTTGGTTCGAAATTGATCATTAACTTCCATTTGGTGTATGAAGTTCCCTTCAGTTGAATATATACTTTTACAAGGACCATTGTGGAACAATGGGGATTCCCCTTCCTCATAAACAAACACCTTAAACCGTTTCTCCATTTCTATGTAGCTCCTATGCAATGAAATGCAATGCATCAATTAAACTAAACATACTCCGTAAAAAGTATATGATATTGTGATATCATTACTACTTAAATAGTTGGATATATTTTGAAATCAATTGGTATTTGATATATTGTGACTATCCTAGGCCTTGCCACCTCAAACTTGACCATTGAAATTAGATTTTGAATGAATCATTTCACATTATCCAATACACATGCATGCATGAGTAAATGAACGAACTTTCGACGTGCATTTTACACTACTTATTGCATGGTTTGTTTAGGTCAAGTCGTATTTTTTTATTACATTTACAATAAAATATGTTATTTGGGCTTTTCATTTGACAAAAATAAGTAAATAAAAGAAATTTCAAATGTTATTTCACTATAATACAGTTTAATAGTGTACATTATGACTTGTGTATCCATGCTTTACATCTCAATATACAAGGAAACATTATCCTTGATTAATTGACCGTATTTTTATTTGATGTTACATGGAGTAATTTGTTTTAGGAGAAATATAATAATTAACCAGCTTCTTACAAAAATTAATAAAATAAAAATGTTCCAATTTAAAGTATTATAATTATAATAAAATAAACCACCACAATAAATGTTTTCTTTCTTACTTAGGGGTCTCAAAATATGTTCCGGTTTAAAATCTTTTCTTTTTAAGCATGACTTTTTATCCCAAAATATCCTTATTACACTACTTTAATTCCAGAATTGGCAAGAAAAACAACACCAAAATAGTCAAGAGTTAAGCATTAATGACGTACGGCTTATATCAGTTATATGTACGTACCTTAACTTAACATGAAATTACACAAATCTTGACAAAAAAATTGATAATGTGTAGCAACTAGTAGAGTTGTCAGTTTCTGACCCGAACCGTTAAACCCAACTGTTTCGAACCGATCCGAAAAGGAACTGAACTGTTTAAAACCCGTTTTTTGGAAACCGAAAACTGACCCGACATAATTTTTTCCAACCTGAAACTGAACTGAACCGAATTTGTGCGAACCGTTACTAACCCGACCCGTTATCAAGCCAAACCGTTATAACCCGAAACTGAAAGCAACCCAAACCGATTACGTTCAAACCCGATAGTAACCCGGCCCGTTTTAAACCGAAAACCGTTAAAACCCGATAAAAATCCGATAAACCTAAATCGTTCCAACCCGTAACCCGTTGTGACCGAACCAGTTATAATCCGTAACCCGTTGTGACCGAACCGTTTACGACCCGTAACTCGTTGTGATCAAACCGTTTAAAACCCGTAACCCGTTATGGCTGAGTCATTTACACCCTGTTACCCAATATGTTTATGATCTAATCTGTTTCAACCCACTACTCAATAAACCCAACTTATTTATGACTTGACTTGATTATAACATGACTCGTTCCTACCCGTTATCTTATTAACTCGACTCGATAATCATCCGACTCAATTTTAACCCGATATGGTTTGATTAGAAACCCGCTTCAAATTGGGTAAACTCGTTTTCAAACCAACCAAGCTCAATCTAAATCGATTATAACCTGAAACGATAATGATTGGACCCGATTTCACTCTATCTGTTTTGAACCGAAACCCATTTTCTAACCGACCCTGTTAAACCCAAACTGATTATGACCCGAATTAATTACGACCTGTTTTGATTAAGACCCGAACTGTTTTTAACCGAAACCCACATTAAATGGGCTCAGCCTGTTTTCAAACCGACCCGGTTCAACCCAAATTGATTATGACCCGAACCGACTACAACCCGACCCGATAAGGACCCGATCCGAATAGAAACTGCAATTAAAAAAACTAAACCGAACTGATCGGATAATTTTCAAAACCGACCCAAACCGACCCGCTTATTATTTCAACCCGTTATAAACCGATCCGTTATAACCCGAAACTGATAAATCCAACCCAAACCCGAACTGTTTAACCGAATTGACACCCCTAAGTATACTAGATGTTACATTGTCGCAGATCCTTGTAAGTTAGGATATGAGTGACTACAACTGTGTCGTTTTTTGGAGTCCTTTTCAAATGTGGTAATCATTGGAGATTTTAATCAGGTGGAATATACCTCGGACAAATTAGGAGGAAATTTCTCTATTCCAGGACAATCGGACTTTATAAATTGGCGGATAGGTCTGGATTTAATAGATGTTCCTTTTTCTGGTCCTCGATATACCTGGACGAATAATAGATTGGATTCTGATCCTATTTTTGAGCGTTTAGATCGAGCCTATGGCTCTTCCACTTGGTTTGCTAATTACCCGGATACCAAGCTTTTACATCAACCCATTTTATTTTCAGATCATGCTCCTATTATTCTATTGGATACAGCTGATTCAGATCTTAGAAAGCGTCCCTACAGGGTTGAAATCTGGTGTTTGTCAGCTTCGGCTGTACACAATATTATCGCTTCTATTTTCTCCTTGTTTTTTCCTGGTTCTCCCATGTTTGTCCTATCTCGTAAACTTTCCATCTCTCAGGATCGTCTCCTGTCATGGTGTATTTCCCACAAGAAAGCCTGGGGAATTAATTGGAAACAGCTAGTCTTTGATATTCAACAAGCCTCTCAATCCCTTTGCACTCGGGCGGATCGGTGTCTTTTCCTCTCTACCAAGAATGAGAAAGTGGAAGAGGCACAGGCGACTTACATTTTTTGGCAGCAAAGGGCTAAAACTAAGTGGGATGCTTTAGGGGAATCTCATTCTCGTCTTTTGTTTTCTTCGGTTCAATCTCGTAAACGACAGAATAAGATTTTAGGCCTTCGAGATTCATCTGGTTGTTGGCACCAAGATCCTGAGCAAATTGTTTCTATTACTCTGGACTTTTATAAGGATTTGCATTCAGCTTCGACGGATGTCTCCACATTTGATTCTGAATGGTGGGATAGTCTACGCCTTCCGTCTCTTTCTTTGGCTCAGATCTTATGGCACCTTTTACCTCAGACGAAATTCGGATTGCTATTTTCAGTATAGCCGATGATAAATCCCCAGGTCCAGATGGTTTTCCATCAGCCTTCTTCAAATCCTTATGGGATTCGGTTGGTCATTCTGTGATTACTGCGGTTCAACATTTTTTTTTTCCATGGATATATGTTGAAAGATTGGAATCGCACCTTTTTGGCTTTACTTCCGAAAATGGATAACCCAGAACTTATTTCTCAATTTCGTCCCATTGGCCTCTGTAATGTGATTTATAAATGTGTGGCGAAATGTATTACTCTTCGTCTTCGTCAGGTGTTGCCTAGTCTGGTTGCAGATTATCAGAATGCTTTCGTTCCAGGGCGTCTTCTTTCAGATAATGCCTTGATTGCTCACAAAGTCCTCTCTTTCATGAATAAGTCAAAGGCTAAAAAGAGGTTTTTTGCTGCTATCAAGTTGGATATGAATAAGGCCTATGATAGGGTAAATTGGGATTTTCTGTTTCGTCTGCTTCAGGCTTTTGGTTTCCCTCCTTACTGGATCCACATTATTCGTCAATGTGTTTCAACGGTGTCTTACCAAGTGCTGGTAAATGGTAATCCCGTTCCGGCTTTTCGTCCTAAATGTGGTCTTCGTCAAGGAGACCCCCTGTCTTCCTATTTATTTGTCCTCTGTATGGAAGTCCTATCTGCTATGATTAGGAAAGCTAAAAGAGCATCTCTTCTTAAAGGCATTTGCATCTCTCGGGGTGCTCCGGCGATTTCTCACCTGTTCTTCGCTGATGATTCTCTATTTTTTTTTGCAAGTTACTCCTGATGCTTGTGATAATCTTACAGCCCTTTTATCAGAATTTTGTTCATTGTCAGGACAAGTGATTAATCTTCAGAAATCGTTTGTGAAATTTAGTCCTAACACTCCTGCGGACTATCGCGATTTCCTCGCTGGATGCTTGAAACTTCGGTGTAAGCCTACTCTAGGCTCATTTTGGGATTACCAGTGGAGTTGGGTCGTAGTAAGGTAGCGGATTTTAGTTTCCTTGTTGATAAGGTGGTTCAGCGTTTGTCCGCTTTTGCCTCCTTGGGTCTTTCCTCTGCAGCAAAATTAGTTATCATTAATTCTGTTTTGGTTGCTTCTTTCAATCATATTCTCTCTGTTTATAAAGTGCCCTCTTCAATTTGCTCCAAGGTTGATAATCTTTTGGCTCGCTTATGGTGGAAGTCAGAACCCCGTTCTCGGGGATTAGTTTTAAGATCAAATGCCCTTCTACATCTACCAAAGGGTTTGGGAAGTCTAGGAATACGTCAACTTCATTCGTTCAACTCGGTTTTGTTGGCCCGTCAGTGTTGGCGCATCCATCATCACCCTCAGCTTCTTGTCTCCAGGATTTTTTCAGCTCGGTATCCTTCTCTCCGTCTCTTACAGACTAGGAGGATTTCGGGTTCATCTTGGGGGTGTCAAGGCCTGTTACAGGGTTTGTCGGTTTTGGCTAAAGGTGCATCTTGGAAGGTAGGCTCAGGTTCTCGGGTTCGCATTCTTTAGGACTCTTGGGTCCCTGGGGATTCAATTTCGTTTCGAGATACTAGTGAAAAGTCTATCCCGTCTCATGTTTCCTCTATTATTAATCCGCGTTCTTACGCGTGGGATACTTCTCGGGTTTATCAGTTGTTTGACTCTTCAACAGCTAGCCGTATTTTGGCTCTAGAACGCCCGAGTAGACCAATGGATGATTTCGTTTACTGGAAATATTCAAAGGATGGGGAATTTTCTACAAAATCGGCCTACGCCATGTCATTAAGAAGTATTGACTACTTTTCTGGGGTTTCTTCGTTTCCTTCTTCATGGTGGAAGGTTTTCTGGGGTCTGCCGCTTTTACCAAAACTACAGCTATTTTGTTGGAAGCTTATTAATAATGTGTTGCCTCTTATAGCTATTTTGCAACAACGTGGGATTCCAGTGGATACTACTTGTGCTCTCTGCTATGGAAATCCTGAGTTGTTGAACATCTCTTTCGAGATTGTCCTTTGGTTTCGAATGTCTGGATGATTGCTCCTCTTATTTCGTCTCTTGTCGTTCGTCGTGACATTCATTTTTCTGTTTGGTTTGTGGAGTTGGTTTTGGAATTACGACGAACTAAGTCTTGGGAAACTTGATCAACTTAGTTTCTTTTTTTTGGGCCATTTGGATTGCTCGAAATCACAAGGTTTTTCGCCAAGCTGTTGTTTCTCCTAGTTTTGTTCGTCATATAATGTAGGATTGGGTCTCTCGCAGTGTTGCGGCTGAGGAGTTTAAGATTGTTGTTCGTCCTTCCAGGATTGCCTATTATGCTATTCGACAACCTGCTTTTTCGTCATGTCTTCTTCGAGGCTCTTCGGATTCCCTTGCTGATATCTTCCTTGTGTTTGATGGTGCTTATAGTTTTCAGGATCATGCTGCAGGAGCAGGTTGGTTTTTTAGACATCCACATTTGGACACGGTGCTTGGTGGTAGCTGTAGAGCCTTCATCTCTTCCTCGGCATTTAGGTCAGAGTTGCAAGCCTGTTTGTGGGCTCTCAAGGCTGCTGATCATAGAGGGTTTAGGCGTCTTCTGATCTACACGGATTGTTCATCATTGCTATCTTTCCTTACTAGCAAGGAGTGTAAGGATATTTCATGTTTATGGCTGTTTCAGGACATCAAGGTCATCATTGCTCGGTTTTCATTATGTGAAGTCCAGAAGGTTCCTCGTCAGTGGGTGGCTCCGGCTCATTGGTTGGCAACTACAGCTCGTCAGCGTCGTGTGTTGTTGTGGTCCTTCTATTTTTTTCTGCTTTTGTTTTTTTCCTTTCTTTCTTAGCTCATCTTGTTAAAAAAAAAAAAAAAAAATATTGTGTCGTTTTTATCAATGCTAAATCTTTTACCAATATTCTATTAAGAAAAGAACATACCATTAGATCTTTTGACTATCATAAAGTAATTTTTTTTTTTCGAATAGCACATCATAAAGTAAATAAGTGGACTTATATATCAAAATAAAGATTTTTTGACAATTACCATCTACAATTGTTACAGTTTTAACAATTACTACCTATATTATTTTTATTTTAAAAAAAGAAAATTTACCTTCTACGGAGTACTACTTTTTAAAAAATTAAAATTCTTCACCTACTTGGCTCTGAATTGAAGTGTGATGTCATGTGGGGTCCACCAACTACCTTCTCACCCTATTTCCCTCCTTTTCTTCCTTTCTCAATTTCTCATTTTGTAAATTCTTTCACAAATTGAAGTTTTTTCCCAATTTTGAGATGAATACAATACAGGCGAATGAGAAATTGAATGAGAAAAAAAGGAAGGGAGAGAGAAAGGGTGGGAAGGTAGTTAATAGGCCCCACATGACGTCACGTTTGAGTTGAAAGCCAAGTATGTGGGAAGTTTTCATGTTTTAAAAAATAACAGGTGATAAAATTCAAAAAAAAAAAAAAAAATTATAGGTAATAATTTTTTTTTGACACAAAAACTATAGGTAATAATTGCTAAAATAGCAAACACTTATAGATGATAATTGTCAAATTTTCTTCAAAAAAATGCAAAAATTGCACACTCTACTATACATAATACTTCATTTATACTTGGCATTATATTACTTAATAATTAGAGAATAAAATTAAAAAAATTTAGTGGAGTATACCATAACATTACGTATAGCATAAAGTACCTGTGAAAAGCATTGGCATTCCAATAAATCGGACCGACGGGCTGAAAGTCGGGATCTTGATACGTACGATTTGTTGTATACTTAGCTTCCTTGATTGCTGCTCGAACCTTTTGTAGTCCTATTTCAAGCTTATCTATATCACTAGCAACCTTCTCTTCTATCATTGTGGGAGAAGGAGAAGCATTTGCATGTGTTTCATCAAAGATATCATTGGAATTTGGGCTCATCTCCTCCTTCACTATTACTGAAGTCTCGTTTCCATCCTGTTCACGAAACCTACTTAGTCTTTATGTGCGAAAGCACGGAAAATTCACTTCACTAAATTATACGCTTTAAAATTGGTTGTCATGTTGATATATGTGATTTGAACTATTAACTATGAATACTTACTCTCTGAAGTAAGAGTTATGACGTATGTTGTCATATTAATGTATGGTACTAAAAATGGACAATTAGCCTTGAATTGAACCGACACACAATCTAATTAGGCACGACACGAAATTAGTTTGACTCGATAAGAGCCTGTCACAAGTCCAAAATAATAGTTTTTCTTGGCCACGCTAGACGTATCGTGCGTGATGAGCATGAGGCATGCTGGCAATAAATGGCACGGGCGCACGACCGCCTTGCCCACCTTTATATGAGAAATTGTTATATAATCTCGGGTGCAAGGTGCATTCAAGGGTATTTATTTGCTCATTTTTATGATTATTGTTTGGATGCACCGTGTAACCGGGTGTATATAACAATTTCTACCTTTATATGGTACAATTTGTAACAAATCCAATTTTAAGTATGTTATTTATGATATGTTTCGTATGTTAAGTGAATACTCAATTCTATAAGTGGATTAGCGGAAAACAATTTTTGCCTTACATCATTCTACTACAAATCTAAAAAGTCAAGTCATTCATTCTATAATTTGAGTGATGATATTCTTTTACTTTTATTATTCAATAATTACTCCTAATAAACATGGAAAAATGTGAATGTTTGTACTTTACATATATTTTCTTTTTTGAGGGAATTGTGTACCCATGCAATTTTCTTTTCTTACAAGTTACAACTTTGGGATCCATGCTATTGCTCACACCCTCATCAACACTTTTCCTTTTTATTGGAAAACGGTGATTAGCTAATTAATTCATTAATTATGCACCTTGCTCCCCAGTGCCCTTTAATTACTTGCACCATATTTAATTGTTAAGCGTTTACTTACCAACACTAACTGTAAAATTAAGGCATTTAATTAATTAATTACTACTGCAATTTGTTACTCTACTCAATTTTTATATGCTCTTTTTTGTTTGAATAAAATTCTTTTCAAAGTGCATTTCTTCAATGCCATTTAATTACTTGAATTGCATCATACTCCGTATTTAATTGTTAAGCGTTTACTAATTTACTTATTGGCACTATTATTAAATTAAGGCATTTACTATTGCAATTTTGCTGAATTTTTATATGCACTTTTATTAAAAACAATACTCCGTAACATATTTTATGTTTAATTTTTTTTTTATTAAATGTTACGGAGTAAAAAAATTTCTAATATAGGTACCCGGTAATAACAATACTAATAATCAATCAATAACCACGGCTACACGGTGTCGTCAGTTCGTAACTAACACATAAAACTTTGTGAAATTAAATTATAAATAAAATTTTTATTATTATTTAATTTTAATAATACTGGAGTAAGTTATAGTAGAATAATTATAATTTAGTAGAATAATTATAATTTTCTGATTAAATAAAAAAAATGGTTTGCTAGTGCTACATTAGTGTGCTACCAACAGTTCCAAACTCTCTACAGAAGGTAAGAATATTCACAACAACCCAGCACATCACAACCTCATACTTACCATTTTTGAACATGTAATTATCAATAAACGTTATGAATAAAACACCAAAAGAATTAATTAGCATGTAATTTAATGCAAGCAACGTAACAACCTTGAATAAATAATAATTAAGAAAGAGCGAAAAATAATAATCTTACTGGTGCAAAAACAGGAGAGTTAGCAGCAGCCTGAATTACAAGATTATGAGGTGTAGATAGAAATAGTCCTCTGCTACAACATTAGCTTCCTTTGTTATTCCTCCTATTTCGCCATCGATCCTTAACCTCAAATCTTTGGTAGAAACTCTAATTGATGAAGTTTTCGACGACAACAATGAAAATGAAAGATTGGGAGTTATTCCTTTGTTGAATGAAATAAAAACAGTAAGCAAAATCAATGGAATAGTGAAACAAAGTAATAGTTTCACTAATGGTGAAAAATACAAATAACCCATTTTTGTATTTTTATTTTGATTTTGGAATGAGTTAGTTTTCTTGAGGACAAGAGTGGATGTTACATGCTTAGTTAAAGTTAGCTTAGTGTTTGGTTGAAGGAGAATAAGAAGATGGAAGAGAAAGTTTTGAGGGTACGTTTTTAATTGAATTACAAGTCTTATTAACATAGTTATATAAAGAACTAAATATATAAAGTGGGTCCAAAATAGAGGGAAAATAAACGAGCTTGCCCAAGTTACTCATCATGAGTAACATCAAATGCAACTCAAATGGCATTAAGCGTAAATAAGTGCATTACTTTGCAATTTAATATTATTTTTAAATTTGGGTAGGTGAGTTGGCAAATGGGAATAATGCACACTACATTTGTTAACGTCGTTATGTTGAAGGTTTGAAGGGTAAGAAGTTTAAGTGTAAAAAATTAGAGTAGGTCCTGAATTGGAGAGACTCATAGGTCGACGACCGACAACGGTAGTTATGGTGTTTGAATTAGCTTTGCTTAGCTAGTGATAGGTGAATCTACTTTGGTCGTCGGCTATTAACGGCTTAGTTTAAGGTGCGTAATTGCCAGTCTCTTGTACCCTGAAAAATTTAACTATTTTTATTTCTAAATTTTTCGGACATATTTGGTTGTAATTGTTTGATTGAAGTTTAAAATTGCTGATTTTGGGGTTCTTTGGTGAATTAATCGCTGAATTGATGGTGATTTTGGTTGGAGTTTGGTTTCGGTTACTTTTGGTTAGAGTTTACTATAGTTAGCTGAATTGGTTTCGTTTGTTTTGGTTGAGGTTTTTTCTGTGATTTAATGAGCTTAGCTTGCATTCAATTTTAGTTTTATCAAGCACTCCATTGCAATTGCATAATGATTTGGTGTTTCAATTACTTGAGTTTGCATTGTATTTTCTTTTGGTTTGATTTTGTACTCCATTTTAGTGTGCTTGAGTTTAAGCACTTGAAGAATGTTTGATTGTGCACTTATTACCTCAATTTTGTTTAGATGTTGTAGCTGAATTTTATGTTGTTTTATTTTTGGTCTGCAATTGCAGTGTGGATTTGATGTTGTTTCTTAGTTATGGTTTATTTGTGAATGTAGGATAAAAAATGGATGCAATTGATGGTGATTTGAGTGATTCTATGGCATTTATGAAAAATGACTCTTGTAGCAGTCCTATTACATCCCCATTGGTTCCGAATCTTGAAAATAAATGCATTACTCCCCAGAGTGGAACTTCACTGGTTCCAGATTCTGTAGAAACTTGCACTGCTGTTATGTCACCACCCATTGGTACTGTTCAAACAGTTGACACCATACATTCTAGTAATAGGGGTGTCCTTGTGTTAAAGCCTCCGAAGTAAGGTATGATTTTCAAAAGCTGGGAAGATGTTTAAAGGTATTATAAAGAGTATGCTGAACAAGTTGGTTTTGGGGTGACTAGGTGTCAGTGGTCTTCGTCTAAGAAAGACAAGAATGTAAAGCTTTGTTGTACTGGAGGTGTGAGTGTTGGGGTGCACCCAACCTCAGGGTCAGAAGGGAAGTAAAAAAACGGGCAAAGGCCATGGGTGAGGGTGATACTGGAGGTGTTGTGAATGGTGTAATTGGTGAGGATGAGCTTGTTAGTGGGAAAAGGAAGTCCAAAAAATGCTTTTGCCTTGCAATGTTATATGCTGGTGTTACTGCAGAAGGTTCTTGGGAGGTTCGAAAGGTTGAGTTGAATCATGTGCATGAGGTGAACCCTGATTTGTCTAAATTAGTCAAAGAATACCGTATGAAGAATTACACCGCTACATTGAGGAGAAGGTGCCTCAACTATTATGAAGTAGGGGTTCCTATTAAAAAGATCCATGGTTGCTTAGTTGTGGATAAAGGCGGTGTTGAAAACATGCCAAATGTTAAGGACCTTCAACATGAGGTGCACAAGGAGAGGGGGCTTAAAATGCAAGGTGGAGATATTGCAGCCATGATGAGGTACTTTCAATACATGCAACGGGACAACCAAGATTTTTATCATGCTATTCGGTTAGATGAAGAGGGTCGATTGAAAAACGTTATGTGGGTTGATGCTCGTAGCCGTGTTGCTTATGAGGAATTTGGTGATGTGGTTTGCTTTGATGCAACATACTTGACGAACGAGTATGAGTTGCCGTTTGCTAATTTTGTGGGGGTCAACCATCACGGCCAATCCATCCTGCTTGGATGTGCTCTTGTCTCTCATGAAACCATAGAGACTTATACATGGGTGTTTGAGCAGTGGTTGTTGGCCATGAACAACAAACCACCCCGGGCAATACTTACTGATCAAGCACCTGTAATGCGTAGAGCATTGGCTGAAGTTATGCCCGGTTCTAGGCACAGATGGTGCATTTGGCATATTTTGAAGAAACTGCCAGAGAAACTTGGGAAGCTGGAGTTGTAAGTTGTTCACTTATCCTTGTTTGTGTATGTTTTAATGTTTATTAGTTTAGTTTAAAATTGATTATCCCTATATGGTTGCTGGTTACTTATATTCTTTGCTATAGTTGGTTGCTAATACATAAATAAGAACATGCATCTGACCTTTGTCTTTTCTAAGTACACATAAATGAATGAACTACAACGAAATACATTTTTTGTTGGAGGCTAATCTTGAACTTGATCTAAATGTATCAAATATCAATTGGGAAATAAATAAAATCATGATGAAAAAGCATGCCATTATAAAGATTGTAAAACAATTTTTGTTATTCAATAATAATATTAATTTTTTTTATGAAGCATATTGAACTGTTATAGAATTTAGACCCTTAATGGTGGATATTTTATAGCTTACCATACACTGGTCCATCTTGTGTGGCTCTTGGTGATTGTGTGGGGACTCGGGTACTAAACTAATCGAATCATTGCTTTTACAGCTCTCTATAACTCAACCTAGAAACACCTACTGATCTAACATGTATCAAATATCAATTACATTTATGTCAAGGTTTTTTCATAAATTTTGTAATGTTTGAGCAGATACCATGATTTCAAAAATCCCTTAAAGGCTGTCATATACGAGAGCTTTACGACGGAAGAGTTTAAAAGTAGTTGGTGTTCTTTAATGAAAGAGTATGACCTTGAGGGAAATGATTGGTTGGAGGGTTTGTATGATGAGAGACACATGTGGGTGCCAGCCTTCATGAAATATTATTTTTGGGCAGGTATGAAGACCACCCAACGGGTGGAAAGCATCAACAGTTTTTTTGATGGATTTGTTACAAGGAAAACCAAATTATTTGATTTTCCACAACAGTATTGCAAAGCTATGGAGAAGCGTGTCGAAGATGAAACAACTGCAGATGACAAGGGGATGAAGTATGTAAGGAGGCTAGTTAGTGGTTTTAGGCTTGAAGAGTTATTCCAAAAACTGTATACCGATGCAAAATTTCAAGAAGTGCAACAGGAGTGCGCACGCATGTTGTACGTTGTTCATCACTTTCATCGACAAATAGATGAAACTAATTTGGAGTATGTGATGGAGGATAGGGTCTGGATTGTTCCCGAAGGTTGTAGCGAGGAAAAACTAACGGAGATGAGAATATTGTACTCTGTGACATTTAATTCTGTCACAAAAGAAGTAAAATGTGATTGTTGCAAGTTTGAAATATTTGGCATCCTTTGCAAACACTGCATTCGTGTACTTGATCAAAATTACGTCAATGATTTGCCTAAGAAGTACATCCTTGATCGGTGGAGGAAAGACTTGCCAAGGAAGCATGTCCGGGTCGTAGTGCCATATCATGACCCCACCAAAAGTATTGAAGTGAAGAGATTCAACTTGATGTTGTCTGAGTATGAGGCCGTGTTTGACGATGCAGCTACGGCCGATGATGCAACAGTTGAAATTGTTATGAACAATTTAGCTAAGTTAAAAATTGATGTCAAGGAAAGCAGGGAGAAGTTTAGGAACAAACAATTAATTGACTGTTCAAAATTACCTCCACCATCTGAAATTGGATCTAACGGTCAACAGAAACAACATGGCAGTACTCCTACATCAGGTTTTGTGATAGGGCATGAGGCTGCTGGATCATATTTCCCTTCGTTGATGGAGGTATGTTTTCAGTCCAACAACACCAATATTGTGAAGGATCCAAAGTCTTTGAAGAGGCCAAGGGGTCGTCCTAAGGGAAGTAGGAACAAGTCGTTGGCAGAGACAGGTTTCAAGTTTCCTAAATGTAAATCGGGTGCTACCAACAAAAATGTTTCACGTGGACATGAAGTTCCAAATGTGCTTCCCAAGAATCAAGTTAGTTGTTTTGTTAATTTTTTTTTATTATGTTTATGTTAGTGTGTGTTATGTGTCTGTATTGAGGTAATGATTTTGTTGTCTTTTATTTTTGGGTTATGAATTCAGGGAAACAAAAACTGCGGTAAGAGGTGTAACGGAGGCAAGGCTACTACAACCAGTAATGGAAACAGGAAGCGCGCACCAAAGGATGGTGATACTGTCGTGAAAAGGAAACGATATAAACGTGTGATTGAGGTGTAACCTCCAACCCATTCATTTGAGTTCTGATGTGGTGGTCATATGGGGCGTTTTATGCTATTGTGTAATTGTAATGGGCTATTGTGTAATTGTAGGCTTATATATCCATTGTAATGGGCAAAAAGATTTCACATCATTTTGGACTACATTTTGGACCCATTTGTTTAAATATGGGTTGTATTTAAGTATGGATTGTATTTAAATTGTTATGTTTTTTAAATATAAACATTTTAATATGGGCCAAATAGCTTATACACCCATTTTAGACCCATTTGTTTCAATATGGGTTGAATTTAAGTATGGACTATATTTAAATTGATATGCTTAAATATGGACCATTTTATAATATGTGCCAAATAGCTTTTACACCCATTTGACTAGTTTACCCAAATGGCAAAATGCCCAACTTTTATCCAAAAATATTGTTCAGTATATGATTATTTAATTAAATTCTTTCCGAGATCATAATCCATATTTAAGTAATACTACCAAAATTAGTTTATGATGTGTACTTGATGAGTGTCATTTATGGCACTCATAGGGTAGTCTTTTAGGATGATTTCATCTTCCTTTTTATGCTTTCTTATCTTATTTTTGGTCCTTTTTTTCCTTTAATCCCTTTCTTTCTTTCTTTCCTTGTGTTTTTCGTGTTTTCTTCGTGTTTTCCTTTTATTTGGTTCTTTTTCCCTTTTATTCCTTTTCGTTGTTTGTTTTTGTAGGTATCTAGGATTTGTCTTTGCAAGGGAATCAAGTAGGGCTATAATGACTAAGCAAGGAGGAAATAATCGGCTTGGAGAGGGCTCAGAGAGGGCATCAAGCCCTGCCAGTCTGCCGCGGGCGCGGGTATAAAGGCCGCGGGCGCGGGCTCATTTGCACAAAAGTGGCAGATTTCGACCAGGAACTCTCCGCGGTCTGGCCGCGGGCTTGCCGCGGGGGCGGGAAGATTGGAGAGCCCGCTCGTACCAGAGAGACCGCGGCCCTCTGATCATCCTTTGGGAGCAGGGGATTCACCGCGGTCTTGCTAGAAGACCCGCGGAATTTTTAATGGGTTCCGTACCCATTTTTCCGCGGGCGCAGGGTTTATTGGAGAGGGCACGGGAATCCCTTTTTTCTTCTTTGCCTATAAATACACTTGTAATTCCTTTTTGAACTTAACTTTTAGATAATTTTCATTTGCTTAATTCTAGAGAGAGAAATTAGAGAGAAGTTAGAGAGAAGTACTTGGATTTGGATTTGTATTTCAACATTGGATCATTTGAGCTTGGATTTCTTCATTTTCAATCATTAATGTTAGTAAGATTTTCTTCTTCTAGTTCATCTCTTACTTGATTGATTTAGTTTCATCTTTGATTGTTAGTATTGCTTGGATTTTAGTTGGATATTGTAGTTGATATTGCTTTCTCTTGATTTTGATTTAGAATGATGATCAATGCTAATTCTAGTGATTTTTTCTTGAGTTACATCATGATTAGTGAGTAGATTAGTTGCTAGGTAGAAGGGGAAGCATGCTTGATTGATAGTTTGTGCTAGTTGATGATCTTTGATTGATTGAATTGTTGTTGCAATTAAATAGGTTGACATAGTTTTGCATGTGATTAATTAGATTAGGAATGAGTAGTTGTTGTCTTTGTTTTGCCTTTGGGCTTTGGTTTTGTTGGTTTTTTCAGCCAGAGGGCATATACTGAACTTTCATTTCTTGTAGTTGCTACTCATATTGGTAGTAACTCTTTACTTTTGGTAATAAAATCCTTTATTTACCAAAAAAAAAAGGCTATAAGAGGTTAATTTATTTGATGAAATATTTTATATAATAATAAAGGTCACTATGTTAAAATTAGGGTCATATCGTCATATTTCAAACTCACAATAATATTAAATGTTATACAAGTTTTAATAAAGATTACTATATTTAATGTAAGGTTACTATGTTAAAAATAAGGGATCACTATGTTCAATATAATGACAGTTGCGTGTTTATAAATCTCGGGTCCATAATAATATTATTATGGACCAGGTCACGCAAGTCTTTCTGGGTACATCTATCTTAGCTGCAAAACTTATTACAGAGCACAATTTAAAATCCTTAACCGTACCAAGCCCGTTTCCAGACCCGGCCCATAGCCTGCATCCACCAAAACACTTCCCTTCCTGACATTCAAACAACTCTGGATAACACAAAAAACATTACAGAAAACAGAGCAACCAACATTACATACCCCCTTCAATCTACCAAGAGGATATGGTTCGCGCCATTAATGGCATCAACTTCTTCTCCTCCTCAGCTCTTTCTCTCTCCTCTTCTTCAATTCCCCCCAAAACTCATTCACTCTTCTTCAATTTCTCTCTCCAAATCCAACACTTTTGCAACTTCTGCTGCTCAATTCCTCACTAATTCACAAATTTCACCTGTTTTCCAGCAACCCCATCTCCCATTTTCTTCTCAAAACACTGAAATTGAACCTTTTTCATTGGAAGACGCTCAAATTCTCTACCGGAAATGCCTCGAGTTGCTCAAATTGTCTGCGCGTTACGCCGATGCCGAGCTCGTTATAGCTGTTCATTCATTGATTTTGAAGTTGGGAGAGGATAATTACTTGCTTAATTCGTTGATTACTGCTTATCTTAAACTGGGTTTGCTTGATGATGCTTTTGCTGTGTTTAAAGGGATGTCGAATCCTGATGTTGTTTCTTATACTGCGATGATTTCTGGGTTTGCGAAATCTGGGTATGAATTTGATGCAATTGGGTTGTTTATGAAGATGAGAAAGAGAGGTATTGAGCCTAATGAGTTTACTTTTGTTGCATTTTTAACTGCTTGTTCTAGAATTTCTGGGTTGCAATTGGGGTTTCAGATTCATTCATTGGTGGTTAAATTAGGGTATTTGTTTTCTGTTTATGTTGCAAATTCTTTGATGGGGTTGTATAGTAGGTGTGGTTTTTTGGATAATGCACTCCAGGTGTTTGATGAAATGCCTCAACGAGATATTGCGTCGTGGAATATTGTTATATCTAGTGTTGTGGATGAACTGATGTATGATAGGGCTTTTGAATTGTTTCATGAAATGGTGAGAGTAGATAGGTTTAGGGCTAACCATATCACGCTTTCGAGCCTTATAAGTGCTTGTGCTGGGAGTTGTGCTCGAGTCTTGGGGCGAGAAATCCATGGTCATGCACTTAAGATGGGGTTTGATAATAATTTGAGTGTTAGTAATTCACTTATTGGGTTCTACACGAAATGTGGCACTGCTAAACATGTTCAGGCTTTGTTTGAGAGAATGCCTATCAAGGATGTCATTTCTTGGACAGCTATGATTACCGCTTATATGGAGTTTGGAATGATTGAATTAGCTTTGGATATTTTTATGAAGATGCCAGAGAGAAATTCTGTCACTTTCAATGCCGTTTTAGCAGGGCTTTGTTCGAATTCAGAGGGTTTTGGAGCTTTATCTCTGTTTTGTGAAATGGTTAACCGTCGTGTTGAATTAACAGAAAACACACTAACAAGTGTTATTAGCGCGTGTAGTTTACTTGGAGAAAAGAAAATTAGTGAACAGATACATGGCTTTGTGATTAAGTTTGGCTGTAAATCAAATGCTTGTATCGAAGCTGCTCTAGTAGATATGTGCACAAGGTGTGGGAGGATGACAGATGCTCAAAAGATGTTTCAGCAGAGCAAATATGATCAAAATCTTTCAATCAAATGGACATCTTTAATTTCTGGATATGCTCGAGATGCACAGCCGGAAGAAGCAATGACTTTGTTCAAGTGGGGCCAATCTGAACAAGCACTGACAGTTGATGAGGTTGTAGCAACTGCAGTACTTGGTATCTGTGGAACTCTAGGATTTAATGAGATGGGAGAGCAAATGCATTGCCATGCCCTAAAATCAGGACATCTGTATGATGTAAGGCTAGGTAATGCTGTCATCAGCATGTACTCAAAGTGTGGTTACATGGAAGATGCTTGGAGGGTTTTCAATCTTTTGCCCATGCATGATGTAGTGTCATGGAATTGTTTGATTGCTGGCCACCTTCTCCTAAGAGAGGGTGATAAAGTGTTGGCTGTTTGGTCGAGGATGAAGAGGGAACACATAAGACCTGACTCTGTTACACTTATTCTAGTAATTTCTTCTTACAGGCATACCAAGTTGAATATGCTAGATGATTGCCGGAGATTGTTTTTCTCATTGACGAGGGAGTATGATGTTCAACTTACTTCAGAACATTATGCCTCCTTTGTTAGCGTTTTAGGCGAATGGGGTTTCCTTGAGGAGGCTGAGGATATAATATCTAAGATGCCTTTTGAGCCAAAAAGCTCAGTTTGGAGAGCATTGCTTCATAGTTGTAATCTTCATTCAGACTTGATTGCTGGAAAGAGAATAGCAAAACATATTCTAGATATGCAGCCCGAGGATCCTTCTACATATATACTCATATCAAACTTGCTCTCTGCATCTGGTAGATGGCATTGCTCTGAATTGGTTAGGGATGAAATGAGGAGGAAAGGGATCAGGAAACATCCAGCACGTAGTTGGATTGCTCATAACAACAAGGTGCATGCATTTTTTACCAGAGATAAGAGTCATCCTCAATCAAAAGACATCTATAGTGGATTGGAGATCCTGATCTTGGAGTGCTTAAAGTCTGGATATGTGCCTGATACAAACTTTGTTCTTCATGAAGTGGAGGAGCACCAGAAGAAGGAATTCTTGTTCTATCATAGTGCAAAACTAGCAGTGACATATGGCCTTTTGATGACCACGCCAGGAAGACCTATTAGAGTTACAAAGAATGTTCTTTTATGTGGCGATTGCCATAACTTTTTAAAGTATGTATCAAGAGTCACTAGAAGAGAGATATGTGTTAGAGACACCTCAGGCTTTCACTGTTTTTCTAATGGCAAGTGCTCATGTAAAGATCACTGGTAACTTGTACATGCACTGATTGAATATGGTCTTGCTTATCAAACCATTGGAGGATCAAAAGTCCAAAGCTCTTGTATGTGATATATTCAAAAGCTGAGATGGCTGAATGTATATACATGTTGAAGGAGAAACTAAAGTATAGTAGGAGGATGAAATTTTGAGGTATATAATACAAATTTACACAGTACTGCAAAAAACTATTGCCCTACATTATTTTCCAGCTGTACACATTCTTTTTGCATTATTTTCATCGGAAGAATTCTCTCTGCATATGTGACTAGTTCAGTAGTCTTGCCACCCTCTCCCTGTATGTGTCTCCTGACTTTCATATTGTTGTCACCTCCATTCAATATCTTCACACTTGCTTAAAGAATTAGCCTTTCAATATTTCTTGCTTTAGTGGTGCTTACTTCTTGGTGACTGGTAATGCAATGCTGCTAATCAAAACACAGGCATCATATTGAATTCCATGTTTAGATTCTGATTTGGAACTTCCTTTTTCTTCTATCTCCTGTTGAGTTTTCTAATTTAAGTGTTCCTGCTGCTGAATTAGGGTTATGCTTGATTAGCTTCTAAAAATCTGCTGTTAGTTTCTTATCTGCTCCTTGCCTGATCATACTGATTGTGCCGCATACCCCTCTACACATCAAATTTGCACTGGAAGTGTAAAACTAAGCAAACATATTGCTGTATGGGTTAAAAAGCAGGTGCTCATTGCTCCTAAATTGAAGCTGCAACCTACTGCCGAATTCTAGGCTGTTGCTGGCTTACCATCAGATACTCTTGATCTTATCTCTTAATGTTGGTAAACTGACCTGTCACAGGATACGGCATCAAAATACTGTTTAGACTTACTTCACGAATATCTTGAGTTGGTCATGGCTTTTTCAAAATGAAATTTCGTTTTGTTTACTTTTACTTGCTCTGTGACAGCTGTAAATAATATTGGGTCAACAAGGAGCATACATATCTTTTTCTGATTACTATTCACTATACAATGTCTCTGGAGTTGTGGATGATGAGTAACACTAAGTAAGGAGCTCCAGCTCAACCCCCTCCCAAGAAGATATATAATGCCCATGGCGGGGAATTTGCTGCAGCAAATTCAATGTTTCTTCTATCTACCAATCTCTCTTGTCCTTGTTTAATTAGTTGGTACAGCTAACATGGCCATGCACACTAACTGTCATAAACACACTAGTCCTGATGTATAATGCTAAATGTTGTGTGTTGTGTTCTAAACTCTTGTAGGTAAGCATATTAAACTGCTTTACATGTAAATACAGAGCTACTGCCTTCCCCCCTCCCTCCTCTCCTCTCCTCTCTATCTGGCAATTAGTTATGGGCTTTGTTTTCCATGGCATATTATTTCACAGGATATTTTTCTTATTCAACTGATTACTTACTGATGATTATTAGAACCCGCAAGATGCTCAGGAAATGGTGTAGACTCTGAAGTTTCTAGAAATAGTCAACCAGTGCTAGCTCTAATTGTTTCCTTTAATTTTGAGATAGCTCAACACCTTTTTTTTTTTTTTTTTTTTTTTTTTTTAATTATGTATCTTATCTTTGAATTATTTTGTCTCATTTTCTTCTTGAAATAATAAATGGGCCTCTTTAATCTTGTTTAACAATCTGATGCTATTTATTCATTTTCACAATACCAATAGTTGAGCTGTTTGTAATACACAGCATGTCATCATTACCTTTACCAAGTTCCAGATCAATTGTATTTCGTCCAGATATCTATGTTGCCGAGGAAAGCTTTTGCACATAATGATTTAGGAGCTGTGTACTAAGTGGTATAGGATTTCGTCTTCTTGTTTGCTTGTTGCATCCAAGCCATTATGTAGATGTGGGAGAGATGGTTTGCCTTCCTCATCTCCCTGCTCTTCATTTACATCAGCTTAGCTTAGTTTTGTCTCTGTTAATATACAACATATAGCATAATATCCTGGTCTCTTGAACTAATTTCTTCAGGCTTCAAAGATTCTCCATTATCTAGCAGGGACAACATCAGCACAAGAAGCATCTTTTTTAGCCATAGACCAATTTCTTTCTGCCTGAAGCACCAGGGTCAAAATCCATATCGTGGTGCTTTTATCAGATTATTCGGAGCTGTTTGGACTTTGGAGACCAATTTCTCATTAAAGTTGTTGACTGGAATCCTAGCTATAGAGGAGGGAATTTTTCATGTTTTGTATGCTTGTGCCTTGCAGTTGAGTTGGCATCAGAAGTACAAGTGTACTTCAGCTCATTTAGTTTTCTTTCTGTTATGTCTTAACCAAGTGCATCAACAGCTGTTGCTTTGTAGCAAGCGGGCAGGCAGTGCTACTAACTTTTGGTTGACATTATCTCTTATACAAGCATTGTTGCCAGGTTAGTTATCTTGTAACTTAAAGTCCATATAGCTCTACAATTCTGAAATTTTCATGGTTGAGGATATTATTCAAAGGGTTTTTTTATTTATTTTTTTTTTTATTTTTTTTTTTTGCTGAAAAGAATTCTCTTTAAACACATAGTTTCTTAGTTGTGAAACTTCCTATCTTGGTCCTTCTTTATACGCCTTTATCTTAGATGCCTCTTTCTCTTTCTGTGGGTTGGAGGGGGTGGGAAGAGCGGACAAATATTTAATGCTATGCTCCTTTGTATTGGTTCACATCTTTATTACATTTTTTTTTCGAAATTTATCCAACGAAACTAAATATTAAATCAGGTCACAGTAGACCATAAAAAATTACTTGTGTATCCGATGGACTGGACTAGAGTAGATCTGTTTTTTTTTTTTTTTTTTTTCTTTTGTAAAAAAAAAATATATAAAATTTATATTATTGTTGTTTATGACTTTGGAGAACTTATAGTTAGACCAGAGTACCAGACTACTGTCTCAGTAAGAAAGAATAAAGCATTTTAGGACTGACTAGATCAGACAAAGCTCATTTTATCTCAACCTTCAGGTGAATGGAGTATAGTACTAGTTATATCAAGAATTTTTTAGGTAGGAATATTAGGACTTATTTGTCTATTATAATTAATATGGTGAAAAGATACCCTTAAAATGTGGTAAAAGGTACACTAAGATTGAAGAATGATTGGGTAATATTAGGTCCACATCAGGCGCTTAGGCCTCGACAGCCCTAGGATACACAGTGATCTTGTAGATGCACCAGTTGCGATTATATGATGAACTAATGAAAACTACTTGGAATGTTTTTAGAACCTTTTCCTTGGGTTAACAAAATATGAAAGCAACGCTTCAGAGGACCCTTTAGTTTTAATAGTCAGAACAACCAGACATACCTGTTTTCCAGTTTTGTTCTGTCTCATTTTTTTTTTTTTTTTTTTTTGAACGGGATATATGAGTTTAAATTGCGGAAACCCTAGATTTACATATTACTAGTCATACAGTGAAGTAGTAATACATTGAAGTTGTATATATACCAGTTAGTCTATGATGTTTGTGTAAGTGGATTAGAATATAGAAATAAGGAGCTGGTAGTGATTGGATTCAGCTAAGTTCTGTTGCTTGTATCAGCTAATTTCTGTTGCTAGTAATTGTAATCAATAGGAAGCAGTAGCAGGAAGCGTAAAATCAACATCAATATTTGAATTTCGTCTCACCCACTCCCTCGACTTTGCTAGAGATTGAAGAACTACAGCGGAAGAGAAATAACGGTTTTTGGCAAATGATGAAGATGGCAAAATGAAAGTCAAAACGGGGTCCAAAAATAAAGTTAACCATTGACTAACGTCAGAGTTAAGTGCCAACACACCACCAATTCAATAAAATATTAAAATAATACAGCAAAGCTCTTTTATTGCGTTTTTGCCACTATATTAACGCTCATTGTTAATATTGCATATTAACTGGGCAACGCTCAGAAAGCCATGCACTACATGGAATGTTATTAAAGTGAAGATTATGTTGCTGCTATCAGATCTGATGTACAGAGATTCTGTTTATAATAAAACTATCATTGGTAAATTCTTTCACGGCTTTAGTTAATATTTGGCCCATTTTCTCATGCTTTCGTAACATTAGATGTCCAAATCCATGCATAGCAATCAAACTTTTTGAGTTTCTTGATTGAATGTTGTTTTTCTTAAATTTTTTATAATGTTTCTCATGGAAATTTAGAAGTGAATAAAACGATTTCCTTCTCATAATTAAACTCTTGGAATCTTGTAGATCTTCGTCCAGCCTGTTATACTCATTGATGATACTCTCTCACAGTGGATGCAGCCTTATGTACAACAAGCCTTATTGAAGGTTACATATTGTTGTTGTAGCTGTAAACTAGCATTTTACGCAGTGGATGCAGCCTTATGTACAACAAGCCTTATTGAAGGTTACATATTGTTGTTGTAGCTGTAAACTTGCATTTTGCTGTCCTTTTTTCTTAAAATTTTCAACTTTTTATGTTGGGTTGGGGGGTTCCAGTTTTCTTTCCTCTATTATCAGCTGTTGTTTCGCAGATTATATCAACATTGTCATCACCAGCTTATCATCTACCTCTCCATGGTTGTGCTGGGCTGCTGGTTATTTATCTACATTTCCACCTCATATGCGTATTTTCCGCTCTCTGCTTCATACTATATGATTATATGTCTTAGTGACGAACAGACAGTTGCTCATTAAGCAGCAAAGCAGTAAAGCCTTTTGTATAATTACTTGCATTAACCTAGATAAACAGGCGTTTCTGGGATTAGATGCTAAGTTAAAAGGACGCTCATTCCTCCTAATTTGAAGCTGCACCTACTGCTGAATTTTAGGCTGTTGCTGGCTTACTGCTGGGATTTAGCAGCTTTTCAAAGGGGTTTAAATAATTGCTGCAACTCTACTTAATCTTTCTGCTTAATTACATACCTTTTCACTGCTATTGTCCATCTTTATAGGCTTTTACACCATTATCATATTGTATGTTCTCTTAGAAAAATGTTCTGTCATATTTGTGGCTGCCCTATGTTTGTGTTATTTTATACACTTATGTGGTTGTAAAAACTTTGACAACACTTCCATCTGTGCTTGCTTTTACCTTGTTATGATTCCGGAGATACCAATGGAGCTAAATCTAATTGAGGGTGCTTTCCGGTTGATAATATGTAGTTTTCTTTGTCATATTTTAATGGTAATATTTATGTTTGGCCTTGTTGATGAGGTTCTAGTTGCTGTTTTGTTTTGATGTTTCTATAAACACGGAAGGATATATGATGTGCACGATAACAAACTTTGAGTACTTCTTTATAAGTTGCGAATAAAATACTTTATGCATCATTGTTCCAACAGTTGAAAAACTGATTGGTTTTTTATATTGTAGAAATCTGAAAAATAGGTTTATATTATACAACGCATAAATTTTACGTGATTAACTCAGCAGCCCAGTGGTCAGGGACTCTAAATATTAACCACAGGTTGCGACTTCAAACCACGGTAGCGATAAAGTTTAACCCCCAGACCGAGTTACAATGAACTTGGAGTAGTGAAACTGGGCCCCTGGGAGCTACTCGGAAGCTGCTATTTGGGACACTTTTAACTTATGATAAAAAAAAAAAAAAAAAAGCGGGTTGGTGAGAATGGCCTGTAAATTAACATAATTAG